ATTGAAAAGAACTGCTGTGTTAGGAGGAGCGGCGAAGGCCTCCCAACATGCTTAAAGGAGGCGGTAGTAGGACCATTTGTTGTGGTGAAGGGGCTTGAGTAATTCAGTAGTAGGACCATTTGTTGTGGCGAAGGGGCTTGAGTCATTCAGAGAAGCTATGGGCTGTGCCGTGCAGGGACACCCAAGACGGACAGGTCATAGTGAAGAGTTCTGGCTAAACGGGATCCACCTGGAGCAGGAACTGGGAAGCCACTCCAGTATCTTTGCCAAGAAAACTTCATGGACAGAAACAAAACGCTAAAAGATATGACGCTGGAAAATGAGCCCTTCAGGTCGGAAGACGTCCAACATGCTACTGAGGAAGAGTGGAGGACAAGTAGCTCCAGAGCTAATGAAGTGGTTGGGCCAAAGCTGAAAGGATGCTCAGCTGTGGACGTGCCTGGAAGTGAAAGGAAAGTCCGATGCTGCAAAGAGAAATACTGCATAGGAACCTTGAATGTAAGATCTATGAACCTTGGTAAGCTGGATGTGATCAAACAGGAGATGGAAAGAATAATCATCAATATCCAGGGTATCAGTGAACTAAAATGGACAGGAATGGGTGAATTCAATTCAGACAACTATATCTACTATTGTGGGCAAAAATCCTGTAGAAGAAATGGAGTAGCCGTCATAGTAAAAAAATAAAGAGTGGGAGTGTCCGACTCTTTGTGACCCTATGGACCAGAGCACACCAGGCCCTCCTGTCTTCCACTGCCTCCCAGAGTTGGGTCAAATTCATGTTGGTCGCTTTGATGACACTGTCCAACCATCTCATTCTCTCTCATCCCCTTCTCCTCCTGCCTTCACACTTTCCCAACATCAGGGTCTTTTCCAAGGAGTCTTCTCTTCTCATGAGATGGCCAAAGTACTGAAGCCGCAGCTTCAGGATCTGTCCTTCCAGGGAGCATTCAGGGTTGATTTCCTTCAGAATGGATAGGTTTGTTCTCCTTGCAGTCCAGGGGACTCTCAAGAGTCTCCTCCAGAACCACAATTCAAAAGTATCAATTCTTCGGCAGTCAGCCTAATGCAGATCCAGCCCATCCACTAATGCTTCGCCACGCTGCCAGCCTCTCACCAATTCCAGAAGTCGCTCCATCATATTCCTGCTCAGCTGGCCACTCCAGGCAGAGGGTGGGAGGACAAGTCTCCCCATACAGCTGCTAAGTGGCCAGCCAAGCAGAGTCATGGCGGATCTACTGCCATGATTGGCAAGAAGAGTGGGAAGCTGGTGGTGCAGCAAAGTGTAAGTGGCTGGGCCCGTTTCGAGGGCTGGACCTGCATTAGGCTTTATGAATATGAACATCCCCATCTCTAATCATAAACTGATTCATTCATTCACTCCCTCCCCCAAAGGACTACTTGCAGAGCAAAGCAGAGTTTGGAAATGTTACTTTCTGGACTACAACTTCCAGAATCCTCTGGTGGCCATATTGGGTGAGGATTATGGGAGTAGCCAACTAATAATGTACTATCTGGAGTAGATAGCAGTAGATTAAAAGAAACCATTTTTCAATTCAATATAAGGCAGCTTCATAAGTTGCACTACCAACCAGTATTATGCCAAATATAAGTTTTTTTTCAGTGAGTGAGCTGAAACACTGATTCATTTTGCATCCCACTCTTATTAGTATCTTATTAGTATCACAGCACTATGGGCTATGGAATAAATGGAGTTACATTTACATAAGCCGATCCAGCAAAACAAGAGGCTTACTCTCAGGTTTCTGATGCCATCTTGAAGTTTTAGTTTCTCAAAGAATGAGTGGAAGAAGTCTGATCTTTCTACATGTCTGGGAGCAACACAGAGAGCATCTATGTCAGCCCCTACCAAAAAGAAAACGGACATGTAATTAGCAACCGCCAGTATCTTAAGGTGAGTCATTTTACGAGCAAACACCAATTATGAGAATCGTACCTTTTGTGTGCACTCCGAGCCGATAGGAACCAAATGTGAATATTTTGCCGCCAAAGTATGATGAGACTGAAGGTGGGAGGTTCTGCAGTTCAGTTGGGAAAAAAAAACATTTTTTACTTTTGAAAATCTATATCAATAAGCTCTTCCAAAGACTACTGTTGCATCAGGTGAGATGTACAGATACAATGGCTGAAATCATGCTGCACAGTTATTATGCAAATGGTATAATGTCTGGAAATGAAATGCGCTGAAGTCAAGTAATCTTTGAAGACATCATTTATTGCATACTACCTTTCACAGAGGATTTCTCAAGTTACGGCACCTTGCTTCCAAAAGTTTCATTTGTTTGTTTGTTTAACTTATATTTCCTATGGGGAACCATTTTTTGTAAGACAAAAATTTTGTGGAATGAATTACTTTCGTCTTGCGAGGCACCACTGTATTGCAATGGATGCAGAAAAATGGGCTGAGGTTGAACCCGGACAAGACTGAGGTCCTGAGGGTGGGCGGACCCACCATCAGTGGTTTGGGAAACTCCCTCTCTTTTGGGGGAGTGACTCTTACTGCGAAGAGTGAGGTTTGCAGCTTGGGGATCTATCTGGACCAGGCACTCACCATGGAAACACATGTGGCATCAGTGGTCTGCACCGCCAATTCCATCTTTGGCGGATTGCCTAACTGCATCCCTATCTTGATGTTGGGTCGCTCACCACTCTGGTCCATGTGCTCATAATCTCAAGATTAGACCACTGTAATGCTCTCTGTGTGGGGCTACCTTTGAGATTGATGTGGAAACTCCAAATGGTGCAGAATGCGGTGGCCAGACTTCTTAATGGGGTGAGGAAACACCAACATATCACTCCGATTCTGGACCAGTTGCAGTCGCCGGACCGTCTTCAACGGCAGCCCCACGTAGAGCGCATTGCAGTAATCTAGGCGGGATGTTACCAGTGCGTGTGTAACTGTCATGAGACTCTGCTCTTCCAGTTATATTATTTACATAATGGCGAAATGTTGAGATCTGTATGGGATCAAGGTGTCTTGAAGTACATCAGATCATTGTGACTTACTAGGACAATGCTTCAAGACACCTTGATCACATTAGAATCCAACAGTAATTCCATTAGAAGGAATCAGGACCTCCAATATAGAGCCAAGGAATTCTATCCAGAAAGCCCCAAAATGGTAGACTAAGTTAAAAAAAAAAACCCAAGCTTTTGACCAACTTCTTACCTTCCTTTCACCAACTTCCACAATCCACTCTTTGACCAGGTTATTTAGTTTATCGAGAACAACTAACCTGCAAAGGACAAGTTTTAAAAACAACATGTCAGACTCAACTAATTCTAAAAATACAACCAGCAATTAATTTAATGTGTTGATTTCTACCATAATTCCCCAGGTGGAAATATTCATTCATTCATTCACTCCATTTATATCCTCCCCATCTAGTGCCAGCATAGGGACATGGTGGCGCTGTGGGCTAAACCGCAGAAGCCTATGCTGCAGGGTCAGAAGACCAGCAGTCGTAAGATCGAATCCACGCGACAGAGTGAGCGCCCGTCGCTTGTCCCAGCTCCCGCCAACCTAGCGGTTTGAAAGCATGCAAATGAGAGTAGATAAATAGGGACCACCTTGGTGAGAAGGTAACAGCGTTCCGTGTCTAAGTCGCACTGGCCATGTGACCACGGAAGATTGTCTTCGGACAAAACGCTGCCTCTATGGATTGGAAACGGGGATGAGCACCGCCCCCTAGAGTCGAACACGACTGGACAAAAATTGTCAAGGGGAACCTTTACCTTTATCTAGTGCCAGGGCATATCTCTGGGCGACTAAAAACAATTAAAATACCACAACCCAATATTACCCACAAAGACATAGAGAACCAAGAAATATTATTCCCCCCCCAAAAAAAGATGGAAACATGGACAGTAAATCAAAACCAATCTATCACCATCACAACATTAGTCCAGTGAAACTATTTATTTTGGCCTGTTGGTTCTCACCTGCAATTCATTTCCTCCTCATCTTCAAATACACCAAAAGGCTTCATGGCTTCAATCAGCTTCTGTGTGTAAATGTAATCTATTTCCCTTGGACGTGCCAAACTGATTGGAGAAGTGATTCCAAAGTGCCTTTGTGGCTGGTTCTCCAAATAAGTTCTACATAAGAAAAAAAAAGTTACATTAAACTAGAGATGGGAAGGCCTGGGGAAGGGGTGGCGGGAATGGGATTTTTTTTAAAAAAATTTAATTCCCCCCCCACCAAAGCCATTTTCTTTGGTTTAAAAATTTCCAGAAATTTTACACCTCTACATGAAACACCGTCAGTGATTTGTCAATCTTTATTTATTTACTGTGTTTATATCCCACCTATCTAGTCAAAAGACCACTCTAGGCAGCTTTCTTCCCAACTGAATTAGCGTTAAGTATTTAAGGAGTGATTTTAATAGCGCTACGCCCCACCCCAATAAGCTTCCACGGCCGAGCAGTGATGTCAAACCTGAGTCTTATCCCTTCATTTTTTAAATTATTTTTAAGTGTTAATAATTAACAAGAACACACACACATACAAAGACGGGGGGGGGGGAAGAAANGAGGGGGGGGTGGAAGAAAAGAGAAAAACGTATGTCTAACACCCCCACCACCCATGGAAGTTCCCCCCCTTTTAATTTACATGCCCTATTTCTCTCCAAAAATACAATGATTCTTCTCTTGGGACAATAACTTTCCTTTTCCCAAACACGTGTACTTAAAAAAAGAAAAAGAAAACAAATCCTTCCGTACATGCTTAAAATAATTTGCTTTCAATATTCCTCTTCTGACTTTCGATTCACACGTTACTTTTGTCGTTGATAGTCATATTCCACATTTCTTTACACCAATCCTCCATATTAAACTTGTGCTTCTTCTTCTTACTTACTCCTTCAATCTATCTGATGAAACAGAACAGCTCACGAGCCTCTTACCTTCTTAAAAGACACCGTTTTGGAGAAAACTTGAGCTATCACTTCTCCGGGTAAGACAACGCTGAGACAGAATGCACCAACTACATCTATCTAGAAACAGCAGCCACGCAGCTTCTCAACATTAACTTGTTTACTATGACCGATTTTTTCCTCCAGTTTGAGATCCCCAGATGTGGCAGGATGATAACATCCAGCATCCCTGCCCACTAGGGAGGGCAGACTGGGATTCCCGGAATCAGACATCCGTCAACATCTGGTGATCCCCATCTGCATGCAAGAAGCAGTACCTTCCGGTTGGCAGGTGTGCATACAGACATAAATGCAGTGTAAATCGGGGGAACGTGAACAACGAAATTAAGTGCAAACACATGTTCCCCTTCTAGGGAACGTACTTACACAACCATTCATCTTGAGATGTAAACTGGGGTCTCCCTTTTCCTAAATGTGAGAAAGCAGGGTCCAGGCACCAAGGGTTGAAGTCCTAATGAAGGTGTCAGCCCTTCACTCGTCATAAGATTCGTTGTTACTATCATGCAAAAACCTTACCCAGCCACCTAATACTGCATTGCTTTGCACTGCATTGTTTACTTGTGTGCCACTTTGTTTTTAATTTACTGGATTATATGAATTTACGCGTAGGTTGTTAATCACTCAGAGAGTGCACATTGCACTACCGGGCAGTATATAAGTTAAACATACAACTATACAAGACATTATAGAAGACAAAATTATATTCCCTCCCTCTCACTAGATATCACCTTCCAGTTTCCAGAGTTTGAATATTCCTGAAAGTAGGAGCCCGGGGACAGATTACAAATTCTCTCGCTGTACCGCCCACCCCATGGCGCAACCACCTCTCTTTCAGAGCTAACTCGACTGGTACTAGAGGTGATGTTAGGGTCCCTTCGGCTTATCACACTAGGGGAGTTCCACATTCATGCCAAGGCAGTTGAAGACGTCATGATCTCCTTGATGACCATGGGTCTTTCCCCAAATGGCATCTGCCTCCACCCTTGCTGCAGGCCACATTTTAGACCCTGGTCTTCTGTACTGCCATAGATGCCGGTGACCTGGGTGCAAAGGAACTTCCTG